AAAAAAAAAAAAGTGTTACATTTCCTGGGTGGAGAACCTTAGAGATTAGCACAGGGCTATGTACAATGTACAGCAGTCCCCCCTTATCTGCAGTTTTGCTTTCCGAGGTTTCAGTTACCCATGGTCAAGTTCGATCTGAAAATATTAAATGGAAAATTCCAGAAATAAACAATTCATAAGTTTTAAATTACATGCCATTCTGAGTAGTGTGATGAAATCTCATGCTATCCAGCTCTGCCCCACCCAGGACGTGAATCATCCCTCTGTCCAGTGTATCCACACTGTATACACTACCCACCCGTTAGTCACTTAGTAGCCATCTGAGTTATCAGATCGACTGTAGAGGTATCGCAGTGCTTGTGTTCAAGTAACCCTTATTTTACTTAATCATGGCCCCAAAACACAAGAATGGTGATGCTGGCAATTCATGTATGCCAAACAGAACCCGTTAAAGTGCTTCCTCTAAGTGAAAAGGTGAAAGTTTTGGACTTAATAAGAAAGAAAATGCTGAGGTTGCTAACATCTATGGTAACTTTTATTACAGTATATTGTTATCATTGTCCTATTTTATTATTAGTTATTATTGTTAATCTCTTACTGTGCCTAATTTATAAATTAAACTTTATCATAGGTATGTATGTATAGGAAAAAACATAGTATATATGGGGTTCGGTACTTCGTGCAGCTTCAGGAATCCAGTGGGAGGTTTGGAACATATCCCCCTCAGATAAGTGGACACTACTGTAAGTTACAAACAAATGCTCCACAGTGAAATCAAGTCCCAGTGACAGGATGGTGGCCCTGCTGGTCCCACACACATGTATCCGTTACATTCAGACCTTGACTCTGGCTTTGGCTGCAGCTCATGGGTCATAACCAGGCTGGAGGAGCAGGGGGAGAAGGGCTGATAAGCTTGGGCTTCTTTTCACCAATTTACAAATTAGGAAATGAAGCTCAGAAAGGTTAAGTACTTACCCGAGGTCACACAGTAAGTGGCAGAACTGAGATTTAAAATCTGGTTTGGCCATCTCTAAAAGATATGTGATTAACCACAATGCCTCCCTGTTTTCTCCTATTTAGGTCTCATATTCATGTGGGACCCTGTTGCCACTATCTGTAGACATTTCTAATAAACACAATGCTCTTTTTGTCACTCAGCAACAACCATGCTCAGTTTCTCAAATTCCAGAATCACTTTCTGTGTTTTAGTGCTGAATATCTGAGCAAGAGGGACAGCTTGAACCCCTCTGTTCACTCAGCGTTCCCAGTGAGCTTTATACAATATTACAGCTAGTTGGTGAGGGTGATAACATGTACTTTGTCTTACATACTTGAGGATTTATGATTCTTTGGAAGCCTTTCCATCCCAGAAATATCAACGTTGCTGACCTACTTCGTGTCAAATCGTGTATCCACCTTCCCTACACATTTGGAGGATCTGTGAGTAAGTAACTAACACAGAGGAAAACACTCTGAACTGAGTTAAAAGGTCAAGATTCTGAGTTTGGTTCTAGTTAAATAAACCATGTGCTTTCTCTGAGCTGGTTTCCTCTTCTGTAACATAAAAATGAGAATCAGACTTACCCCATGTCATTGCTATTAAGGAACAAATGAGCTCATGGACGTGGGCAAACTGTTTCTACACACATATATGTTACCACCAACACCCTTTTAGACGTAGTCACTGGCACACTGGGATTCTAGAGATGTTCAAAGTATTACCTTTTATAATTAGCCTTATTTAGCTCAGATAAGATAAGCATCCTGATACAGAGCCTGAAATCCTAACTTCTCAACCTTGCCTTATCTTCTGATATTACTTTTTGCTGCCTTTGCTGTCTGAAGATCAGCCTTTTCGAGATGCCAGTCAGTGGGGGAAAACAGCATCTAACTACTTCTCCAGGGAAGCCCAGAGTAATGATCTAAGAATGTCACAGGTGTTTTGCTAAATTATCATTACTCTGACAGCCAAAAGAGGGTTTAGAGTGGGATGACATAGTGGTTAAGAGCCAGGCTTCTGGACTGTGACTGCGGGTTCAAATCTTGACCCCAACCTTGATTAGCTCTACATTTTCCTCAAGTTTCTGACCTCACCTGTAAAATGGACATAATAATAGTAACTACCTCTTATTATATTATAGGTATTTTCAATTACTTAATTTGTGTAAAGTATTTAGCACAGTGAGAAGTATACACAAAACACTCCACATGTATTGGTTACAACTATAAAGCAGACCTCGATTCAGAAACACCAAATCACAGAAGTACAGAGACATAGAGAAGCACACGGTGGGAGACATCCATCACCCTTCACCAGAAGTCTGTCAACTATCTCTGCTTCTCCCTTTTCCCCCTGACCTCCCAATGCCCTTCACCATCATCCCCTGAAGTGAGCTGGGAATAGCAGGCCGAGAGGGGTGATCCAACCTCTAGCAAGATTTGTCAAAGGCAAGCCAGCAGAAAGTGGAGTGACAATTGAATTAAATGGTGCATTCATATTTTGCTAAGGATACTAAATTGATGAAGAAAAAGGGAGACTAAAACCTTTGGGAAACAGTTTGGCAATGTGTATTCAAGGTAATAAAAACATTCACATTGCTTGTCTCATTAATAACATCTTAGAATTTAACTGGAGGAAATAATCAAAAAAATAGGAAAAACTACACATAAGAAGATGTTCACTGTAGCATTATTTTTAAAATAGCCTTAGGGAGGTATAATTCAACTTTTTAAAGTATACAAGTCAGTGGGGTTTCTTTTGGTATATTCACAGAGTTGTGCAAGCATCACCACACCACCTAATTTAAAAATATTTTTATTACCCCAAAAAGAAATCTATTAGTAGTTACTCCCCATTCCTCCCTCTCTCTGACCCCTAGCAACCCCTAATCTACTTTCTATCTTTTGAAGCACTATGTTTGATGACCAAAAAAAATTTGAATAAAATAAACTCAATGTTATTAAGTAACACAACATAAAGGTATGTTAATCAAATTATGGTATAGCTATTCAATAAAATATTATGTGGCTGTTAGAAATCACAACAAAGACTATATCAAAGGTGAACCTTATACGATACAATATTTAAAATTTTTAAAGATATGAAATGGTGAATAGACTCTGATCTCAATCAGAGTATATTCTGGTTTGTATGTGGACAGACTGAAAGAAATGTGCAGAAATTTTAAATGGCCATGTTAGGATAAATGAGATTGTGGATGACTTTTTTCTTTAACTTGTAAATATTTTGTAACATTTTATATTTTTTTAACAAACAGAATTTTTAGAAAATCTATTTAAAATTATTGGAATAGAGACTATATTGAAGGGCACAGCTAGCCAGCAATCTAGCCATTCTGACTTGAATCCAGTTCTTATCTCAATTAATGGGTCTCTCTAGTGCACACTCCTGGCAACCAAGAGCCTTAAGCTACAAAGGCGCCACCTCCACCAGACTGCAAAACCTTTCACTGTAGACAGTCAGACACTTGGCCTTTGGCCTTCTTGCCTCTCAGCCTATACCCACCACCAGCAATCTGGAACTCACTCTTTAACAAAGCCCTCTTACTTATCATACACACCAACAACTCTTAGCTAATTTCCTTCTATTAATATATTAACTGTAGATCAAAATCCTTCTGATCCCAGCCGTACTTTCCCCACATGAGCTGAACAGTAAGGAATTTGGTGGAAACAAAATAACAACAAGCTCTCCTCCCTCTCCATTCCCACTGCCTGTCCAGACACACCTCATTTACACATCTCCTCTCTCCCCTCTCTATCAGTCTGGCTCAGAGAATCATCATTGACATCCCACCACTGCACACACACACACACACGCACCACTCCAGGCACACTCATCTTCATCCTCTGCCCTTCCCTCCCCCCACCCTTTCTCTCTCACACACTCCCCGCCACTTACTCTGCTGCAGCAGCCCTGGCTGTGGCCCACGACTGTCCTTGGGATTGTATTTGCCTACTGGTGACCCTCTGAAGGCACGAAGCCCAGACTGTCTATCCTTCTCTAGGTCTCAAGGACAAAGTATGCCTCCAGCCACTCAGCACCTCCCAGCACCCGCCTCACCCAGACCTACTGCCTGACCCACAACTGAAAAGAGTGGGTGCTGGCCCTACAGTGTGTGGTGAGGCCAGGCAATCTGGGAGCCTTCTAATAAGACCATCCAACTCTAAGTGAGCACTGACTATGTGTCAGGACACATATGTGTTAGTTTCAGGGATTCAGAGATGATTGAAACTAATTGCTCACCTTGAGAAGCTCACAGTGGAAGAAAAGTAAGTAAACTGAAAATTACTATATAAACAGGTAAAGGCTGGGACAGGGTGGGAAGGAATACTGCGGATACATGTGGAGACAGCCTCTGCAGCAGGCACCACCTTGGGGGTGGATTTTGAAGAATCAAAAGTTAACTGGGCCATGAAGCATATACACAAACACGTCCTACAGGTCTGCAGAAAACGAAGAATTCATAGAAAACATACTTTGGCAGCGGAAGCAGGACACATCATTCCATGCCCACAGCAGTGCTCACAGTGTGCAAAACACCACGTGATCTAGAGAGAGTAAATAAGCCTCGGTCTCTGCTCCCAGGCACAAAATATATTACCTAAATACGAGGCAAACTACTCAGAATACAATGCACATTGAGAAGAAGGGAGAAGGAAAGGTGAATTTAACTCTGGTCCTAAGTACAAAGAGCACTGGGTATGAGGGTGGGGAGTACTCTCATTAAGGCACTACCTGGGGTGGGTGCAGTGAGTAAAATCCAGAAAAATCAAGGTGGGGCAATCACAGGTCAGCCTTCAGCAGAAGAGGGGAGGAGGAAGTCTGAGCAGGAACTGAGGGATTCCTGCAGAAAAGAGGTGGGGCCAGTGGGCTCCGCCTCCTCCCCCTCTCTCACTCCCCCCACAACCTACTTGTGTCCAGTCTGGCCGAGACAGGTGAGGGCGGAACTCCTAAGGCCGGTGAGAGGGCAGGAGGGTCATGGGATTGGGGCAGGGGTGGAAGGAGGGTGTCTGGTCCCTTTGTAGAGTCCACCACTTCTTCCTATACAGAGTTCGGAGAGCTCCTCACAGGCTGGTTTTGGTGTACGGGCTGCCTAGGTATTGCTGCTGGTTGCAGAGGAAAGACAAGGCTTCTCCCCACCAGCCTCCCAGCCCCTGTGGTAACTCCAGGCAGGAAACTTGAAATCTGACTTTACCAGGTTAGGGCAGGTAGAGGGTGGGGGACCCTGGCAGATATGGCGTATAGAGAGGTCAGGTGTTACCTGGGCCTCTGTCTACTGCCTGGGCCTTTGTCTGTCAGATTCTCTCCCACGTAGTTGTGTCCCCATGGCTTTGTTGTGTCTCTCTGCACTTTCTGCCTCCAACCAGAGCATGGGCTGACTGAGGAAATGGGAAGACAGGGTCAGATGGGGTAAGTGGTGCTCCTTTCCCCCTTCTCTCCCTAACAGGGTCAGACTGAGGGCCTCTGACTGGGGGGTGGGGGGTGGAGGTCCAGTGCGAGCAGTGGAGTGAAAAAAGGCAGGGCCTGCCCAGCACCTGGATTCCAGAGATGCCGGTGAGCACCGAGGTTGCAGGCAGGACCTGCCCAGGACTGGCTCCTGGATGATGTAGAAACATAGAGCTGGAAGGCAGACAGCAGGGAAGAAGGAAAAAGAAAGGTGGCAGGGCCATGACACTGTAAACTCGCACAGGGCTGGGAGTCAGAACTCCTGGGCTGGTTTCCTGGCTATTCCACACACACTGATACCCTGGGACAACAGTGTGATCCTAGAGAGAATCACAGAGCTGGAGGGAACCCTGCAGATCATTTATTTTGGCCATTTATTTGATTTGAGATTGAAGAACCTGAAACTCAAAGTATGTCTAATATGGTTACTTTGCAATCTGACCCAGCCATGATGCCAATTGCTAGTGTAGACACAACAGCTGTGTGTCTTTTTACAGGAGTCTGGGGAGGGGCCATGGTGCCAAGCCAGTTGTGGTGGCGACTGAAGAAACTGCTTCTCTTCCTGTGCTGCGCCTCCCTCCTCCTGGGGCTGGTTTTGCTGGGCATACGGCTGGACATCGGCCCTGTTGCTTATTTCTTTCTGACCTTGGGTGGCTTCTTCTTGTTTGCCTGCCTCCTGGTCTGTTTTTTGGAATGTGGGTTCCAATCAGTGCAGACCCAGAGCCCGGGGGCCTCAGGCAATGCACGGTGAGTTAAGGGGCGGGCAGGAATGGAGGCATACCGGGGACCCATTCTCCCCACGTCCCTCTAGTCTCTCGGGCACACAGTCTCTGCTTTCCTGTCACTGGTATCAGTGAGAGGAGGGATCAGGGGCTAGTGGAGGGGTCTTCTGTCAGTAGAAGTTAGGAAAAGGGGTCCTTTCAGGAAGCCACCAATGACCTTACTTCTCCTCCCTCAGGGACAATGAAGCCTTTGAAGTGCCAACCTATTTAGAGTCCGTGGTGTTAGAATCACAGTGCCGCCCCCAAGAGTTGGATCAACCACCCCCCTACAGCAGTGTTGTAATCCCCCCAGGACTTGAGGAGGGACAGTCTAGCCATCCAGATGGGCCCATGAGAGCCAGACTGGAAAGGCGAGTGGGCTCAGAGGGGTCCATAATCACAAGAAGCCCTGGAAGAGCTCCACTCAACCTTCGGCTTCGGGGAACACGAGTCGTGTCCACTGTTCCTGATCTGCAGAGCTTGGGGACCCTACAGAAGCTCCCCAGATTGGAGCCTCTTACTCCACCCCCTGCCTATGATGTCAGCTTTGGTCACCCTGATGATGATAATGTTTTCTATGAAGACAACTGGACACCCCCCTAAAAGACTTTCCCAGGATATATCAGCTCTCTGCACCAGACCCACTCATTCATTTGACCAATATTTCCCAGTGCCTGCCACGTGTCAGGAACTGTGTTTCCGCCTGGACATCACAAATGGGGACTTTAACCCAGAGGGGAGTCAGGCTATGGTAAGCCCTTCCCAGTTGAGATGTAGGTGGTACAATTTGAGTCTTCAGGCAACATTCAGTGACCTACTCCATGTCCTCTATTTCCAGAGTTAGATTGAGGGTGAAATGAAGAGGTGATCCAGAGAACCTGGAGGAGGAAGAAAAGAAACATCTGAGAGACAGCCATGTTGCTTCTGTTTTGGGTGCACTGCCTCTATTAGATCACTTAGGCTTCTTGGCCTTGTAAAGTATTACTACCCTTATCTGAAAAATGAGGATTCCAAGGGTAAGAGAAGTCTGATAATTTGCACAGGCGCACACTGCTAGTAAATAGCATAAAAATGACTTGAACTCTGCTCTTCCGATCCCAAAGTCCATTGTGTTTTCAATACAAGGTAACAGAAGCCTCTCAATCTCTGCCTTGGACAGTTGCTGGTGAGGGGTGTAAAACTTCACATAGACATAATGGGGGACCAGTTGTGTCCACAGAAAGGGTGGGCTGAGTGTGACCAGGAATGTGCCCAGCCTCCTAGAGAAGCAAAGCTTATCAAAGTTGTGATAGCCCCTGCTCCACTGGGGAGCAGTCCCCAGTGCAGTATCCCCATCCTATCGGAAAGCAGCGGAGTAAACTGCCCCAGGGGATGTTGAGAATGGGTGGGTAGGTGGGTCAGAAAGAAAAAACGTCAGCTTCTGGGCGAGGGGTGGCAGAGTATCTAAGGATCCCTCTTCAATCACCTATTATGAAGAGCTGGAGCCACTTGCACTGTGCCTCGAATCGCTTCAGCCTCACCCATGCGCTCCGACCGCTAGGGTTTTACCCCGACGCCCCGCCCTACTTCCCAGTTAGAACATCAGATCCCAACAGAACACCAGATATTCTGGAACCATGTGCTGCGGCTGTGATGTAGGTTTTAGCCACTGGGTGCTGCTCAACCATCGCTGATCCACCCTCCTCGGGGTGCGCTCCCCTCTCCGGCCTTCCTTCATCGCGCGGGGATCTGTCTAGCGCCGTTTAGTGTCTCCACCGTCTCCTCACCCCGCTGCCAACCGTTCAACTTCAATAAAGTGAAAAGTCCGGCCACATCCGTCTGCATAAAGTTCTTGCAAGAGGCGGGTGAGGAGGGGTGGAGCCGGGGAGGGCGCCGTGATTTCCGCGGGAACCGGCGACCAATCGGATTCCCGCGCAGGACGGGGCGGCTCCTCGGTCCCCCCCCCCACCCCCCGGCTCCTACCCTTTCCGCCGAGCGCGCTCTCTCACCATTGGACGGCGCTTCCACCGCGAGGGCTCTGCGCCTGCGCGCGCACCGGCGCAGGCGGCGGCTGGGGGGCGGGGCCGGCCTCGCGTCGGGGTGGAGCTAAGAGGGAGGCGCGCAGGCGCGCTGTGCGCTGGCTGACGAGGGAGGGATGCGGCGGACGCGACGGCTTTTGGTTTGTTTGGGTTGTGGGCGGTGCGTGCACAGCCCGGGAAAAGCGGGAAATGGCGGCGCCGAGCGCGGGCTCCTTGCCTGCCCTCCAGCAAAAGGGGCTGATGGCTGCTGACAGGGGGCGCAGGTGAGTGGGGGAGGCCCCAGGGGTCCTTAGTGGGGCCCAGGGCAGAGGAAGGCGGGTCTCAGGCGTGAGGCCCTGGCGCCCCCTCCCCTCGGAGCCCCTGGAAGCAGCTTTCTGCAAGGGTGGGAGGCCGGGCTGAGCCCCTGAGGGGCGCGCGGGCCGCGGCCCTTTTCTCAGCCTTGTCCCTCGTAAGCAAAGACTGCCTCAGCCTCCCTTCGTCCAACTCGGGCAGATCTGAACAAGAGGAACCGTTTCCAGTCCTGCCAAATCTCGGCTTCTCTTAAAGATTCTCCATCTTTTGTTTCCCCTGCTTGCCTTATGAGCAACTGTACTCTGCCCCCTTAAAAACCGATGAGACCTGCAGACCTCGGAATTCTGCCTGATGTGCACTTGATTGGATTGAACATAATCATGACCCATATTGCTTTGGATATAATGACCAGATTTGCAAAGCAGTCAGCACAGGCTTTGGGGTTTGAGTGCTTTGAAAGGAAGGGAGGTTCCCGAGGCCGCATATGTGTCTCTCCCTCTGCCACAGTTATGTCATTTCATGGCAGACATCACCCAGGATAACATTATTTTAATGCCTCCTGGTCCGGACCAGAAGATTAATTTAGGACTTCGGAGCTGGAACTTGCAGAAGGACACAGAATCAAGACTTAAGAACTCCCTTTGTGTCCTTGTCTTCACCCCATCTTTCCATTCTAGGCATGTCCTAAATTTCTAGGTGATTGCACTTACATTTGGAAAGTCCACGTTTGAGATTCCACATATTATGGAATACAGGAAGGAGCAGGTGTGTGGAGAAGGGATAATGCTTCAGATTAAGCCTAATGAGTTATTGATTGAAAATTTAAGTCTAGAACTTGAAAGAGTTAAGAACTGGGAGTCAATTAGTGAATTGTGAGTATGGATGAGATTGAATAGGGAGAGGCTCTTTGAGAGGGGGTTCCTAATGGAATATCGGCATTTAAGGGCAGGCCAAAAGTCCTGTGAAGGAAACAGGAACATTAGGCAGAGAAAGGACCTGGAGAGAATGGTGTCATGGAAACTAAGGGAGGAGAAAGTTAAGGAGAAAATGCTCTGGTAAACTAGGAAGAAACCTGAGTAAACTTGCTTCACCATTGATATTACTCCTAAGAAAATACCCAGCATCCGGCTGCGACGTTATCTTGTGGTTGGCCTATTAACACTTATTTTTACTAGAGTAAGTATATGTCATCATTGTTACTGTGTTGATGTGTTCTAAGGTGATTCTTAAATGGAGTTTTTGATTTCTCTAGATTGTGCTGTAGCAGGTTTGTGCTGAAGGTTTAGGGTAAAGAGTATTACAACAGAAGAGACACAAGAAGTTAAAATGGAGTTTCAAACATCACTCTCTCATACCCAAAATTGAATCAGACTTGGCTGCTTCCAAACCTGGGAATGTTTTACTGACCTTTTCCTATGCCTTTGGATTCTATGTGCTATCTTCTTGGGCCTCTCTCAGCTCTTCTAAGACTCTGCATTTCCCTCTAACTATAAATCTCTAATTTAAAGTCAAACCAAGTACATGGTAGATGTATGCTATTTCACTGATTCTAAGATGCACATTTTTCCCCCCACATGTTAACATCTTTGAAATCAGGATGCATTTTTAAATAGGTTTTTAAGTTATAAACTGAAGCTATTACCATATCCTTTCTCACTGCCATCAGGCCCTTACTGTCATGTATTTGGAAACTGTGACTAAGTTGCTGGCAAGCTCTAGGTTTATATAAACTAGGCACGTAGATGTTATATACTGGAAATGAGATTCTTTTAGTTCATAAACAGAGGCTGATCTCTTTCCAAACTTACAGCAAAACTAAGGAATCCTTGAAATAAAGACATCCCTAGTAAATGATTTAGCTTTTACATAATTTAACTTTTTAAGTGATTTCAAGTTATGTTGATTGTGTTCATTATTGGCATTTATCTATTGTGACTTTTCGTCGTCTTTCTACTTACTCAATTCTTACAGGATTCTAATCATAAAAGCCATAGTTGTAATTGGTGTAAGTAGGCTAGAGAGAGAGTGTGTATGTGTCTGTCTGTCTTTTTTCTTCTATTAAAGCTGGCCATTGGCTTGAGTTTTTGCCATTGTATTAAATTATTTTATTCCTCACTGAGAATCATTTTAAACTTAAATCACTTTCAGCAGTCTAGATAAATAATGTAAAATGTTTTCTGAAATAATCCTTGATTAAAATTGGTCTGTCAGAAGAATATTCTTTCTCATGAATATGTGTGCCTGTGTGTGTGTTATTTTTGTCAAGTTAGGTATTTCCCTTGGTCAGACCATTCATCTCAGAAGATGGTCTCAGTTGAACATTCTCCATAAAGAATTATACATCATTTCCTTATGACCAATGTGTTATTGCTTAATACTTCTTTAGTTTTAACCAGATTCAATAAAATATATCTAATCTTAGTGATCATAGGTCCTGTTCTTTTTGCTCTTCCTACCCACACCTCTTCCACTCCACTCTTCTGTGCCAAATCTTGTACTTGACAGCCTTTTGTCTACCTTTATCTGTAGGATACTGGGAGTATGTGGCATGCATCCTGACCATCAGGAAGCTCTAAAAAAGAACCGAGTGGTGCTGGCCAAACAGCTGTTGCTGAGCGAACTGTTAGAACACCTCCTGGAGAAGGACATCATCACCTTGGAAATGAGGGAGCTCATTCAGGTATCTGGAGGCAAAAGAGAAAAGCCAAGAAAATAAATTGGTTGTAGGAGTAGGAACAGAGCGTGATAAAGTGTGGCAAGGATGTAGAACCTTACTAAGGAAATGAAAATGCCCTTCTTTGCTGGAGCATTTAACAGAAAAGATATATAATTCAAGAGTAATGGGAAGGACTTCACCCGTACATATTTTTCTTGTAAAAGGAATTCTTGAGATGGATGATGACACTACCAGGAAGCTCATCTGGAGAAATAGAATTATAGCTTGATACGTAAATATGATGTATGGTTTATTCTTATATCTTAGGCCAAAGTGGGCAGTTTCAGCCAGAATGTGGAACTCCTCAACTTGCTGCCCAAGAGGGGTCCCCAGGCTTTTGAGGCCTTCTGTGCGGCCCTGAGGGAGACCAAGCAGGGTCACCTGGAGGATCTGTTACTCACAACCCTCTCTGGTCTTCAGCACATACTCCCACCGGTATGGAGCCCTAGAAATGTGGTGTGTTGAGAAGGGTTAGTTTGGCGAGAAAGGATTATTTGAGATGGCGGGTGGGGAGACTAGATTTTTGTTTTATTTGGACTGGACCATCTCCCTAAGGCCTGGCCTGGTGGGTCCTGATTTCTTACAGTTGAGCTGTGACTACGACTTGAGTTTCCCTTTCCCGGTGTATGAGTCCTGTCCCCCTCACAAGCAGCTCCGCCTGTCTACAGGTGAGAATTGATGGGATAAAACGGGTCCCACAGATTGACTTTTTTGTTGACTGGTATCTGACTTTGCCCTAGCTCAGTACCTATTTTCATTCATACTGGGAAGAGTTCCCTCAGTGAATTTTTTAGGGGCTAACAGGACAGTTTAGTTGGGGTAATAGTTGGGCCTATTTCCCTTCCATCACAGATGATAGTTTTTATGGTAATTGGCACTTGGAGCAACTTGTACAGGTAGGAAATTCGTACACATGATTGGCCTGTCTCCTCTATAAAGCTGAGTTATTTTAGAATGGGAAAAGACTACATTTTGGGTTACTACCCTGCTGATGGCGTAGCCTGGTGATTAGAACAAGGCTTTTATCAGATATCCCATTCAGTCATTCAGTGAGTTGAGTACCTACTATATGCAGGCTAAGTGTAGATGATCCAGTGGTGAGCGAAAGCAGACAGGGTCTCTGCCCTCATGGATCTTACAAATTAGGGGGGTGAGCAAGACCAGTATTTATCAAAACTCCAGTTCAGAAGGGTGCCTGAAGTTATAAAGAAATAGTAGGATTGACACATAGATTCTATGCTAGTTTTTTGGCTCTCTGGTACAGATACTGTGGAACACTCCCTAGACAATGGAGATGGTCCTCCCTGCCTTCAGGTGAAGCCTTGCACTCCTGAGTTTTATCAAACACACTTCCAGCTGGTGAGTCTTTCAGAAGGGCAAGAGTTGGGAAATGAGATACCCTCCCTGGGCATCTGAGCTTAGTTTGCATATACATTTCCTTCCTGCTTTATCAGTCAGAAAGTCATTGCTGACTGAATGTCTTCAGTGGGCATTTTTCTATTTTGTTCTGGTGGGGTTAAGAAGAATATGATGTCTTTGTTTTCTTGAAATGTCTCGTCTAGACAGGGAAGCATAGTTTCTGTCCTCAAGAAGCTCGTGGTCTAATTGGCCTCCCCTCCCCAGGCCTATAGGTTGCGGTCTCGGCCTCGTGGCCTGGCACTGGTGCTGAGCAATGTGCACTTCACTGGAGAGAAAGACCTGGAATTTCGCTCTGGAGGGGATGTGGACCACAGCACTCTAGTGGCCCTCTTCAAGCTTTTGGGCTACAACGTCCATATTCTACTTGACCAGACTGCAAAGGTACCCAAGGCAGGAAACGCTGCTGTGTAAATTAGAGCATAATTAAGTATTTGCTATACTTTTGGTAAGGCCAGTTTCATCAGTAGGTACTTGAGTATTCTTCTTGACATGCTGCTTTTGCCAGCTTCCCAATAATAGCCCATGCAAAGAAGCTAACCCACCTTTGTTTCAAAGCTATGGCTGGAACAGCTTCTCTAGTCATCAGGTATTTAAGCAGGTTATACGCTTTCCTGAGAAGTCTGCTGGGTGTGAAGGGATAAGGGTAGGACATCAGCCATCGTTCCTAGAGGGAATCCTATTAGAAGGTCACTTACCAAAATGAATGCTGTTTATGTTGCATAGGTTTTGGCCTAGCCATTCCTTTTACTAGGAATTTATGTCATGGTTTTCCGAATTTTATGCATTAGATAAGGGATTTTACATACTTGGTTGTTAAAAATACAGTCTTGAATCACCAAGTTGGCTATATACTGCTGTGTTTCAGAAACATGCAGTAGATACGATGGGCCTGTGAGCCTGCTTCACAAATACCATTCCCACTTATGTTAAACCTGATGCAGATTCAAAGACCTGTTGGATTCTAATTCTCTGGTTACATTGTTCTATAATAAGTGGAATTGCAGTTGAGTTAAACTTTGAGTTCCTTAAAATGTGGGGGAACTGTGTTAGCTATGTTAGCTGTCTAACTATGTTATATTTTTAAAATGTGGACCTTGAGTTTAAGGTACCTCAGTTAGATAAGGGAGTCTTGGCATCACGAAAAAGAGAAGTGTATCCCTTATGTTCCTAAGGACCAAACAAGATGAGAGACAGTGTCTTCTGCAGTAGTTAAAAGGAAGAAACAGTCACCTGGGTCCATATGGTCAGATGGAGAAATGGAAGATATGAGACGAGCCGGCCTTGAAGGATAGAAGCTACTAACGCAGAGAGGAGTGGTAAAGGGATCCTAGACAGGGAGAACAGCACATAGACCAGAAATGTGTATCTTATTTTAGGGACCTAGTGGGTAAACCAAATAAATGCCTAGGGCAAAGGAGTGCCAAAAAGAAGAAAGGAGATAAAGGGACCAGAATGCACAGGGCCTTGAATGTCTTCCCAAAGGAATTGGACTTCCTTGTCTTGATATTAGAACATCATTAGTAATTTTTGAACAGAAAGGTGGTGCATTCATAGTGATGATTCAGGAAGATTAATATGATACTATTGTAAAGAATGAAGTACAGACTACTGGCAGGGAATCCAGTTTGGAAAGGAATTGAGGGACTAAATGAAGTCAGAACCAAATTTGGGTGGTGAATTTGGGAATGACTTGTGTGGGAAAAATGCTTTAAGTAATGAAAGAGTATGAGATCTTTGAGGAAGAGATAAGAGTAACAGGTACAGAAGGTTTAGGACTGCACCTTGGGCTCTAGCCCTCCACGTAGCCTAATCTTCAGCTCTGGAGATTCAGAAACGTGAGGAGGACGTTGCAGAATCAAAATTGACAGTGGCCAAACTCTCAGATACAGTTAAAATCAGGTAGTTACATTGGGTATGATAAACTGGTACATTGGGCATCTGCACAAAATACTTTCCTCCTGGTAGGACCTCTCAGGAGACTCAGCTCTTTTATATCATTATTTGACAAGCAAAGAAACAGAACCAAAAAAATGAACATCCTCTCTTTTTTTCTCCCCATCACACCTTTTTGACTTGAGAGATAATTCCATTTAAAAATTGGAAATAGTATGGTCTTAGAGAATCCTCTTCCCTTCACAGTGCTGGAGAGCACACTGGTATTCTCACTGCTCGTGTAGGTTTTCAGTGTTTATCATTGAGTCAAAAGTCTTTTCTCATTGAGTCTCCCTCATGAGGTTGCTAGTTCTAGAATAATAATTTATCCTATAGCATTAGGAAATGAGATACATTTTAAGTGGGAAATTTCCTTTTACCATATGCTATTGGTTTTCAACTTGCGTTTGGGTCAGAGACTGCTTTGAGAATGTAGGGACAAGCTATGGGTCATTCCAGGAAAATGGAGCTACCCATAAAATTTTATACATAATTTCAGAGGTTCACAGGTTATTCTCTTCTCCTGTGTCCCCCACCCCTCCAGCCAAAAACACACACGAGTTAAGACTCTGCTATTTATAGAAGTACTGTCATTTTATCAGAAATAAATCTACAGATCCTATTTTAAGCTATGCTACTTTTGGAAAAATTCTTCCAATGACTAATCCTCATTTATTGAATGGTTTAGTCTTATTAAATTCAGTTACAAAGTGTGTGTTCTCACTTTGGGCTTTGTTCTCTATTTACTGACCTAATAATCTCACTTAAGTTCAAAATACATGTAAGTGCCAAGCATATGTTTTTATAAGCTTCTTTGAGCAAAATTAACTACTCTATGTTAAATTCTATTATGGTCAACTCCAGAGGAGCAGTCATCCTTATGTATTCTCTTGAGATTATATGTTCTTGAAATAAATGAATTTTGGATATCTTTTATTACCTTCAGATTTATAATATTATGATTGGCTTCTGTTTGCCCAGAAATATACATACTTTTTCAAAAGAGCCAATTTCTCCATTTCCAGTTAAGTTGCAGACTGTCAAGTTTTTTTGTATCGTTGTCTCAATTATCTGTAAGCAGAAGTATTCCAAACAGAGAGATCAGTAGTTCTCAAACTTTAGCACATCAGAATCACCTGGAGGGCTTGTTAAACTGATTACTGAGGCCTAAGACTTTGCATTTCTTAAAAGTTTCCAGATGATGCTGATGCTGCCATTTTAGGAACCACACTTTGAGAGGCACTGCAGTATATTATACAAATGTGCTTTTCATTGGGGGCTGTATATGGTAGCTGTTAGATATATGTGTACTGTAACTGTTCTGCCTAGAGAGCATATTCATCATTGTAGTTCATTCAAGTGCATAATAAAATGAACTTGTTTTCTCTCTCCTCTCAGGTGGGAGAGACGACCCAAACATCTTGAGCTGTAGAGGGAGACATAGGTTTAACAATTTGTATCAGATTATTATACATTAGATATAGTATAACTTTCCCTTGGATGGGCCAAATGCTTAAGGTAGAGTGGTATTCATGTATAGCAACTTAATGCAAGATAAACAAGATTCTTATGTTGGACTACAAGATTGACCAATAATAGGTTCCTTTGAAAAAATGATAAGATCGTTACCCTTCGGTAGACATACACATTATAATAATGGCATATCTTTGCAATATGTGCCAGACGTAGTTATAAGTCCTTTCTATTTAATATCTCATTTAATCTTAACAAACTTGGAGAAAACTACTGTTAATTATCTTCCTTGAAAATGGGTATTAGAGCCTTGAGAGGCTAAATAACTTGTTCTAGTTTATGAACCCAGGGGTCAAACCTAGGTCTGTCTGATCCCGTAGCCCATGTATATAGTCATGGCCCTGCACAGAATCTTTCATACAGTGTGCTCTTCCCTGAACAAAGCATCTTATACAGACATCACTGTCTCTGGGAACTTAAAATCTCACATAGAAAACAGCCTAGAAGTACTACTGCTGTTCTCTATTATCATGATCCTATTAGCCCTTTGTCACAGAGCAGGTTATTTTCCTATAGCTGAAGAGGTATAGTACTTACTCATTCACAGCTCACCTGGTGGTCCCCCTTGTGCCATTTATATACAAGGGCATTTGCTCTGAAAAAGGATCTGGTTGATGATTGGGGAATGGATGAAGTTAATTAGCTCATGATTAGCCTCATTAGTAACTTGCTGTAATCCAGGAGTTCTTAACATATGTCAGTGAGTGCGAAATTATATTTAGAATTCTGTGTCTGAAGTCATGTATTTTTCTGGTGAGTCCATAGCTTTCCTTAGCTTCTCAAAGGGTCTCTGACTTCACTTATTGACTGCAGGAATATACAGAAAACGTTTTAATCTAATAGCTTAGAGTTTCAGACACCAAAGAAAAGTTTACAGTGGTGCTGACTCCAGTGAACAACACTAAAAGGTGTCTTTCTTCTAGGAAATGCAAGAGAAACTCCAGAACTTTGCCCAGTTACCTGCTCACCGTGTCACTGACTCCTGCATAGTGGCACTCCTGTCTCATGGCGTGGAGGGTGGCATCTATGGTGTGGATGGCAAACTGCTTCAGGTGTGTGCTGTCTGGTGGACGACAGCTGTTGAGGCTAGGTGGCTTCCCCTCCCCTGCCTGCCTGTCTGTCTTTCTAGTGATGGCAACTGTTGTATACATAGGACTCAGGAGGTCCTACTGACTACTTAACCTCCCTTCTCCCTTATTTCTTTCTGGCAGCTACAAGAGATTTTTCGGCTCTTTGACAATGCCAACTGCCCAAGCCTACAGAACAAGCCGAAAATGTTCTTCATCCAGGCCTGCCGTGGAGGTGAGTGCCCTGGCAGAGCAGCACCTGGGTGGTGGCTCCTGGGCAGCCTCCCACCAGCTCTCACTTTCCTGTTTGCTCCTCTCAGGTGCTATTGGACCCCTTGGGCACCTCCTTCTGTTCACTGCTGCCACCGCCTCTCTTGCTCTGTAAGTGTCTCCCAATGCATGGGGTGTGCTGGGACTTGGGCAGCCCATGGCTCTCAGGTTGGTCAGCTCTCTGTGCACCGCCATATCCTGTTCTCAAGACTCTCTTTATATCTGTGTCTTTGCCTTCTTTCCTGAGAAGTCTTACTTTTTTCTGTGCTTATTAATAACCCTGATGCACTTTTTTTTGTTACTCATTCCAGCTAAGGATTTTCTGTCTCTTCTTCCTGTCCCTCTCACTTTATCCCTTTCCTCTTCTCCTATCTCCATCTGTCTTCCCCCTTTCCACTTTCTCCTTTCTTCTCTTTTCACCTATACTGCCATTCTTGCCTCCTTTCTTCTCTTTATCATTTATGTACCATGCAGGATAGCAGTGCAGAAGCCCCGTGTCAGCCTGTGGCTCTTATTCTTCCATGAGCTGCTTCCATCCCTCTTCTTTCTTGCATGCAGTCTGTTGTACCTCTTTAAGAGCCAGGACCCCGTGACTAGGCTCAGAAGACATGCGAGCATGCTTCTCATCCTGGAGGAAACCAGTAATAGTTAAAAGCTGTAACTTTGGAGTCAAATTCTGCCTCTACCACTGACTAGTTATATCAAGTTAGAGAAGTTAACTTGATGTCCCTCCACCTTAGTTTACTCTGTGTAAAATGTAGATAATCATCAGACCTACTTAAGGTTGTTGTTATGATTAAATGAAGTCATATGTATGAAGTGCTTACTTAGCACAGTACCTGGCTCATAGTAATTCCACAGAAAATGCAGCTGTGACTGTTATAACATGATTAGTGCCCTCAACGGACTTATTGTTTGGTTTAAAGGTCACTTTGTCCAAACATTCAAATAATTTTTTTATCTATTGTGTATTCAACAAATGTAAATGGTTAATATTGTTATTATCCTCCTAATATCACCAAAGAATATAATTTCTTAAAGTCCCATGATATGACTAGGACTATACAAAAGCGAAAGAAAATGTTTTCTGTCTCTAAAGAGCCCACTATTTCTGGGGAAATAAAGCAAATAAACATGAAGTAGCTTGAGCATAGTGCAAAGGCCTCAAGTAAGCAAGGGTAAAATTAATGAGGTGCAAACATTTTAAGACAGTTGGAAGAGATTTTGTGGGTAGGATAAGACTTTAATTTGGACCCAGAATGATAAGCTTTACATAGGTGTGGAGTAGCAGATAGAGCCTGTCAGAGGAAAAGAGAGAGTACAATATGAGAAGCACACCAAGATTAAAAGACCCCCCCCCAAAAAATGGTATGCTGAGCCAGAAGTATGCCTAGATCTAATTAAAAAACTGAGCATCTGTGTAAGTATGTTGTGAGATGTGGCTGGCCACATGAGGTAGACACAGCTGATTATAAACCTTTAGTCACGGCTGAGATTTTGGACTTTAACAGATAGTAATATGGAGCTATTGCAAGCTTAAGTAAGAAATAATGTGGTGAATTTTTTTCCAGGACACTTTCCATGACAGGGAGCTGCACTAAGAAGAGTATGTGAGGGCAGGAACTTATTTTTTATTCACCTGCTGTATCCCTAAGCCCAGAGCACTGCCTGATACCTGGCAGCACTTAATAAACATCAAATGAATGGGTGAAAATTAATCTGCCTAAAAAGTTGTAGCAATAATGTAGAAAACAGATATGAGGCTGTTGTGAAGAAAGAACCAATAACATTCATTGATTAATAGATGTAAGACATGAAGGCAAGAGAGGTTTCCTTTCTCTTGAGGGACACATTCAGCTTGGCCTGTTTCCTTTAGGAGGTATCACCAGCAAAATAAAGTGAAGTAAAGACATTCATGATCATTTTCTCCTCCTATTTTCAGAGATATATACAGTATAGATCTGGATTGGGAGAAATTGCTCTTTTCTGGGGTAATTTGAGTCTTCTCTCTAAAATTAAATCCTTCAAGGGATGAGCAGTATTCTTTGAAAATTTGAGCTCCCTGGTCTTTTGTTGTTTTAGTTAATATTATTGATGTCTGTAAGAATTACCCTGTGCCCCCTGCTCCTAAACTGAAGTGGAAGCTCCATCAGAGCGGGAGTCTTGTCTTCACATCCCTAGGGCTCAAAACAAAAACAGTGTCTGGCATACGGGAGTTGCTCAATAAATTTTTATTGGATCAGTGAATCTTGGTCACTTTTGCCATAGTTCTTCCAAGCTTCACTCCGCTTTTAGGCTCTCTTGAATGTTGCGTGGAGCTGGAAATATTGTAAAAGAGCATACTCTTATCTTTGGTATGTTGAGCTGTGTGTCCTCCCTGTCTCTTTCCTACCTACAGCACCCCCAAAATAAAACATCAAAATAAGAATATGTGTGGGGATAGATAAGGCCTAGGTCAAGAGGTAGGTTAGGCATGTACTCAGGGTATGTTGAGAAACTACTGCTAAAATTGAATAATAGTATTCTTTTTCAATTGTATAGAAGAAAATAGTCAAATTATCCAAATTTTAAGGTTTTCCTCTTTTAAATTTATCTTAAATCTTGGATGCCTGCTACAATTTGGCTTATGAAATTAATAAAGTAGTAGGTGATTTAAAAATACCAAAAACACCTTGGAAACAGCTTATTATGCTTAGTTTTATAATTTTTTTATTGATACATAGATTTTAGGTTGTGATTTTATAGAGCATGCATGTAGTAATCATTTTTAGTTTATTAACTTTTTCTTTTTTATATAATAAAATCAGTATTTTGTTGTGTTGCAAGAAAAAGCACTGTGACTTCCAGGTATATTGCTAATTGAACAAGTGAATCATGGACATAGATGATTGTTGGTTCTGTTTACAAGGAGTATTGGATTCAGCACTTTCCCTGTCTTACACAGAATGGACAAAGCTCAGACCATGTATATGTGCATATACATGAGCACGGTGCCTGGCCCGCAATGGGCACCCCCTGAGGAATGGATGCATGCTGGGAGAGAAATGAGTAACATTTTTTGTTTTTGTTTTAATTTCATCAGCCATAGGTTGGAGGCAGCAGCTGGAAATGGCTCTTCCCAGTCAAGATTGTAGGGAACTTGGGCTTGCCTCTCGTGGGCCCAAGAGAGATGGGAGAAAATAACGTCTTTGTGCATTCTTTCTGCCTTTTTACAGATGAAACAGATCGTGGGGTTGACCAGCAAGACGGAAAGAACCACGCGAAACTCCCCGAGTGCGAGGAGAGTGATGCTGGTAAAGAGGAGTTGCTGAAGATGCGACTGCCCACTCGCTCAGACATGATATGTGGCTATGCCTGCCTCAAAGGTATTTTGAGTTCCAAAAGAATAATCCAAAAGATTACACTGTCTTAGACATGCACTTTTTCCTGCTGGCTCTCTGAGTGGGGAAGGTACAAGGTGCCATGGAAGTCTAGTTTGGGATGTCCAGCTTTGTGAGGGTATTCCATGACCTTCTAACTATGGTTAATACTGTCCTGTTTGCAGGGACTGCTGCCATGCGTAACACCAAACGAGGTTCCTGGTACATTGAGGCCCTCACTCAAGTGTTCTCTGAGAGGGCTTGTGACATGCACGTGGCCGACATGCTTGTTAAGGTAAGTCGACTCAGTTTGGCTCCATGAACCTTTTGCATCTCCGCAGTGTTCTACCTTCCTCCTCCCTTGCACTATTTTTCATAGTCTCTCTACCCTTCCAGTTGTGCTGGTGTCATGAAAACACCAGCTTCTCAGACTTCGGACCATTGGTTTCTGCCTTTCCAGGTGAATGCACTTATCAAGGAACGTGAAGGCTATGCCCCTGGCACAGAGTTCCACCGATGCAAGGAGATGTCTGAGTACTGTAGCACTTTGTGCCGTCATCTCTATCTGTTCCCAGGACACCCTCCCACGTGATGCCACCTCCCCATCATCCATGCCAGATGGAGGCCACTGGATCACAGGAGGCATGATAGAGCCTTTTCTCTTCAAGATGCACGGTTTCTGTTCTTCCCCCTCAGGGATTGAGAATCTCACAGACTTGTTTCACATGCCCGTCATCTCTGCGTTTGAGTATGGGACTACATGCCAGCTTCTCCTGTGTGAAGGCTTCTCCCTGTAGATCTGGCTCTGGCTCGACTTGTTGCCAGGAGTGTTTGGTTGCAGTAGAGGAGCCTGGCAAATGATGTTTTGAACACAGTGTCTTGATGGGGAGAAGGCACGTGGATTTCCTCGATGTTTGTGTTCAGTTCCTGCCCCCAGGGTTTTGTAGTAGCACTTTGGTAATTGCTTTTATTACATTAGTTAAGATGTTTCCAGAGATCATCTCCTATCTTTTCCTTCTTTCATATCCCAACCATGTTTCTCCCAGAGTGAGAGTTTGGAAGGTGTCCTGATTTAATGTAGGCATTTTTCATTTGGCTTCAAAAGGGCAAACAGAACTAGAGACATACTCAGTTGCTGTGTCTGCAGAAATGACCTGTGCATTCCCTTCAGAACTGCAAGGCCACCCAGCGGAAAGACAGTCTTCTGAACTCAAGGAATTCAGCCTTTCAGCAGAGCTTAGGGTTTGGATGCCTTATATCTGTAACTTCGTGATCTTTGCCCATGGAAGTTTCAAAGATCTTTTAATCAGTTGGCTCTCTCTCTGAGCTTTGTTACTGAAATGAGCCTTGCAGACAATGTCAGCAGATAAGAGTGGTTTGTACTCTGTAACCTGTCACCATATCTTCTCTTTTCTTCCTATGAAATGTCCCTTTCTATAGAAGCTTCCTAGTTGTTATCTCCCTTCTTCCTGTTTCTCCTCTCTTTACCTTTATTTCATCCTGGTTATTGCTGCCCCCAAATCTGCTTAAGATACTGCTTAATTGGATCATTGGCTGCTCAAGGATGTAATGCAGTATCTTGTTCCTGCTTTCAGCTTCAGTATTAAATATTCTTTTGATATTATATGGCCTGTTTCCCCTTCCCATTATGTCTCTCCATTTCAAGGAGGGCACTTTTATGTGTTATTTGGTTACCCTAGAAGCCTTATTTGTGCTCTAGTGAAACTTTCCTGTTCTTTAAGGCCTTCTCTTTTGCTTCCATTCTTGCCCCCTCCAATCTAATCTCTACGTGACAGATTTTGGGTTTTGATTTTTAAATATAAGCCTGATCATGTCACTCCCCTGCTTGGAACCCTTTGGTTTCCTAGTACACCTCAAATAAAATCCAGACTTCTTACCTTGGCCTACAGGGCCCTTGCCCTCCCTTTGAAACCTCATTAAGTACTGATTTCCCTCTAAACGACAGCCCCAGTGACTTCCTCAGTTTCGTAAACATTCTGAGCTCTTTCCTGTTCTGGACCATCACAGACATTCTTCTGGGGTCTACCGCTCTTGGCCTTCTTCATTCTTCAAGTCTCAGCTTAAACGCCACCCTCTTGTGGAGACTTTCCCAGGCTGTTGTGTCGGTAAACAATCTTCTCCTGTGCTTCTTTATTACTGCGTCCTGTTTAATTCCTTCATTGCACATGTCACAATCTATAATCATATATTTACTTGCTTCACCTGTTCATTTCTGTCTCCCCTACTAGGTTGTAAGCTCCATGAGAGCAGAAACCTTGTCTCTCTTGTTCACCCACGCCTGGCACATGGTAGGTCTTCAATAAATGTTTGTTGAATGAAGGAAGGAAGAAAGCAACCCTAGCTAGAATCCTACTTTTTGACAAAATTTCCCTTTTGACAATATACACAGCTGAGCATTTGTACTATTTTTCCATGTGTTTTGTTTTATCCACTGGTATTATTAGCTTCTGAAGACAGATGTCACGTGTGAGACAGATGTCAGTGTGAGACGACTTCCTCCACTTCTCCCATGATGCCTGGCACAGTGCCCGGCCTACAGAAGTTCAGGTGCTCAATAAATACTTGTTCTGTGAGCCAGATGGTTTGGAGACTTGCTGCCAAGTCCTGCCCTTGGGTCACTATTGTATGGAAGTATTTGGGTGATAGAACCTTTCCACTTCCCACTGCCAGGATGTTATATTGCCATCAGGTGCCAAATAAACGCTCATATTTATTACTGATGTCTGTGTGTCTGTAGATACTCAATCTTATGAATCCCACATATTTTCATTTCCTTAGCCCCTTACAGCATTCCTCACCACCTCACAAGGCATACCCAGAGCTGAACACCCCTTATGTTGCTGCTAGATCTTTTTTATATGTGCAGGTCCACACCTGAGATGAGTCCATCTCAGTTGTCACGGCCACAGATAGCTGCTGAAAATATGGCTAGCACTGGGATTTCTCACAGAAGAGATGGAACAGTCATTAGCAAGCAGTGTTGGTTCTGGATGATTCAGATTATGAGATGGAGGTTGGAAAAACAGATTGGGCTGGATATAGGAGGATGATGGGGATTGTAACATTCCATTTCTCACATGGTCCAATTTGGATTTGAGTTTTTCTAGGGTGGGCATAGATTGTAAGAGGACCCTAGGGCAGCATGGAAGAGATCTAAGCAGTGGGCTGCGCAAAAGTTGGAGGATTCTTGGGGTGCAGTGTATTTAAAGTGTGTGCCTAGAGATGCAAGTGGGCAAGTGCAGATTGGCTATGGAGGTTTAGCAAGAGATGGGAAATTCTGTAGGAGCATTTGGTAGGAAGCAGCTGTGGAAGCTGGGTGAAAGTTGTTAAGGAATACAGAGGAGGAAGAACAAAAAGGGATTAAGCCGAGCTGAAGCCTCTCATCAGATGGAGTGGGGGAATTGGCTGAGGAAGAACACTGGGGCAAAAGACATGAAGATTGGACTGAAGCTGGTTGGTTGTACTGTAAGAAGAGCCGATGTCTCAAGGGAAGGAGGGATACGAAGTCTAGGAGAAGTTAGGAAGGTACTGGAAGAGTGGGAGTAAGGTTAGTGTTCATGTTCAGGAGAGGAAAGCTTTTTGGAGGTGTGATATGTTTGGGGATTATAGAGCAGCATCTGTCTCTAAGCTGGGTTCCATGTCCTTGCCAGCCCCGCCCTTGAATAAGGGTATCAGGTTGAATTTCACAGCCCTGTTCCCTTCCCCCTGCTTACCTCTGCCAGGGGATCTGCTAAAATTATCCCCCTCCCTGAGCTGGGGGCTGCCCCTCTCTGCTGCTCCTCCCCCATCCTGTTTCTTTCATGGGGAAGAGGAAAAAAGGAAGAAATGAAACAAATGGGATATCAGAGCAAAGGGGGAATGTGTCTAATCAGAGGAGGAAGACATTAATAATAGCTGACCGAGTCCTTGTATGTTGCAGGCACTATGCTCGGAGCTCTACGTTCCATCCTCCCCATGGGCCCAGAGGTAGTCATTTTTACATTTTTATCAGAAGAGGAAAATGAGGCTCAGAGACTTCAATTACACAAAAATGGAAGAAATATAGCTTTAAGGGCATGGCCTCTAGAATAGATTTTGAATGTGGGCTCAGCCTTTTAACATACCTTGGCTGAGGCATCTAACCTTACTGAACCTCAGTCTCCCATATCTAAAAATAAGGAAAATTGTTTCTACCTTAAAAGGTACCTATGAGGATTAAATGTGATAATGCATGGTGAATCACGCTGTGTTAACGCATTACAGATGCTTGGTGATTGTGAGCTGTCTCACAGAGTGAGCTTCAGTTTAACAATATGAGTTAACATTCAGTGCCTACTATGAGGCAAACACTAGGGTAACTTTTTTGCATGCATTCTTTTATCTCTATAACTCTCTAAATTGCTGCCTTTCTGAGGAAACTGAGGCCAGGACATGAAACGAAATCAGGTCAGCTTGAGTGTGTGCTCTTAACAATATTGTTTCTGTGACTTTTTTCCTAACATGAGATTTTCTCCCTCCTAACTGTTTGGGGCTATAGATTTTTCCCATTGAGTTGGGAGAATGAGCCTGAGACCAAAGACTTTATTTCTTCTTAGCCCTGGTTAGGTAGAGAACAGGGAAAAAAGTGTATCGTATCTGAAAAAGCAGAAAAGGGAGAAAGAGACCCGTCCAGCGCTGTCAGACAGGCCTCATATGCAGGGCCTGGGAAGGGACCAAGGATTTTTAAAGGATCTGGAAGGCAAGGTCCAATAAGAAGTAAAGAGAAATGACTACCAGTGAGTACAACTACAAAGAGAGAGTGTCTGGAGAGGAAGTTGCAGTTACATAGGTGAAACTTCAGAAAAGAGGTGGTCGCAGGTTCCGGCCTAGGCTGGATGTGTGAGGGAAAGTGATGACTGAAAACACTTTGAATAGATGACGGTGTCTTGTCCAGTGGGTTGAGGAGACCAGACTTGAAGAGGTGGGAGTCTGAAAACAAGGGTGTAACCGAGGGAGAAAGTTCATGCTTAAAGTGATGTGGGGGTGTCAAGGGGCTGTCTTGGCACAGCCACCTACACAAGTTTCCCCTGATATCCGAAAGCAGAGCATTCCTATGAAGCCTTTCATAAGCTGAAATCGCATAAAGCAAAGAAGCAATTACCATTAATTTATATGGGAAGATTTTTTGAGCATTCCCACACCCAGAAAATAACCTATCAAATCATGCCAAATAATATATAAAACCTAAAATAACACATATAGTAAAGCAGGAATGCTACAATAAATAATGCAGCCTATATAAAGTAGAAAGAATGTAGGTACAGTGATGTTTCACTTACCAGAATCGGGAAGACAGTGGGCACACTGGAAGGCTGAGAGGTGGTGGTGGTGATGATGGTGGGTGAGGCTGAGTCATCGGAGGTTGCGGTGGCAGGAGGTACAGGAGACTGGAGTGTAGGACAGTGAGGAAGAGGGCCATCTATTAACATCTCGTCATTGAATCCATGAGGAAAGGCGGGTCACTACCGTCTACACTTCTTCTATGTCTGCCTGCCTCAATGTCGAGGTTTGTCGCCTGCTGAGGCTGATGTGGCTGATTTGAAAGCCAGAAATAGGACAGTGTGCTTGACTGCTTAGCCTCTATGACAGGTCACCACAAAACATGCTGAATGCTGTTTTCGCTTTTTGCCTTTTTATCATAAAAGTGAAAATCCTCTTTGGATTTCTTTCAGTTAGCGAAGACAGGTACTAATGTAGGTCTTTCGTAAAAGGGAAGTGGCATAAAGCAAACTTTTGGATGGTGGGGGAAACCTGTACCCCAACACACAACATGGTCATTTTTGACAGTTTCTTCGAATAGCAATGCCATAAGCCTTTTAACCTTTTAGTATCATGGACCTCAAGAAAACCTCTTTAAAACCCCAGAAGAATACATATCTTACACAGTATACATATCTTTTAGAATACGTGCATGCTTATGAATTTGTTTCCAAATTTAGGAGCTTTTCACAGAACTCCCTAGAAATCCATCTTTGACCTTCCAAATAAGAACCTAAGCACTGTACACATGGGGTTTTGGGGTGAGGGAGT